ATGAAGCGTCGGGAGACTACTAGATATGGGGTAGTCTTGTATATATAAGACGGTCACAACGTGACGAGAACAATGTGTAATTGAACTGCGGACAGAGTATTGTTGAGTTGAGCACGTGAGACGTTCGTTGTGAATTATAGCGTTTGTTACAGCGCGACTGTTGAAATTAAGGGTTTCGCAAAGTTGTATTCAGAAAGAATTTTTACGGCAAATTAACTAACGAACGGAGGCGTAACAATATAAAACTTCGAGTCTGGGCTACAACTAAAGTTTTTTCCCATAATATTGTATGTTGGGTAGTTTTTACATGTTCAGCTATAGCTGAAATTTCTATTTTATTATTTCTTATTTAACTTTTTAAATGAAGATTGTTGTAATATAAGTACATATGAAACTAGAAAAATATATTCTTAGTCTTAGTAAACTATCAATATCTGAGATAGTTATTTTTTGCTTTGTTGTACAAGAATGTCAACAAAAGTTGGGCAATTTTTTTTTTTTTATGAAAGGCATATGAAATTTACAGTATATGTAGCAAAACTGTTTGCATAAACTATCAGAATAAGTTTCTATTAAACACATTTCACATTCTTTAAGCTAAAACACGTTATGTTCAATAAATAATACGAATTGAAAAACGAGGTCATTTGAAAGCCATGCCCCATATGGGAACATGTGAAAAGTGGTGAATTATAGCATCAGAAATATTCTTTGTTTTGGTCATCGACTGCTCTTTCACAAACACTCAACTTACTGGATTTTTATATTGTGATTTGTCATTTTTATTTCCCTGTTTTTATTCTATTAGTGTGTCCTTTTACAATATTCAAAAGTTATGCTCCAAATGGGACCACATGGAAAGTGGTGAACTGTAGCATCACAAAAGTTTTATATGTTCTCAACTGATACTTGATACATTCCTTTTTTGCAAAAGTGTCTTCCAAAATAGTTTGGATTATCATGTATTCATTTTTAATAAACTTGATTTCCAATATTCTAAAAACATTTATTTCAAGTACTTTCAAAGGGTATACTCAATTTTATCAGTGACAACTAGATATACCTACTAATTCATCAAATGTTTTATAAATAATATGAAAATGTTGAACATTGTCCCTGATGTGGGCTACCACATATTTCCAACTTCTAAGTTATTTACAGCCTTCAAACAGCAAAATTATTGATGGCTTTACCATAAGAAATATGTACACAGTTGTGAAATTTGGGAGTATTACACTGTTTAAATGAACCCATTCGAGTGCATCACTTGGAATAACATAGTCTGAAAAGATTATTATACCTTGTTTATTAAAGGGTCATCAAGAATGAGTACTATTTTATTATGATACACAATACAGAATTACTACACACGTCTGAAATGTATCATTCATCTTCACCATTTGTATGAATTATACATAGCAAACAGTGCATTATTCATGTACATTTGAAAACACTTTGTCTTTTCTTCCATGACAAAAGTGTTGCTATTATATCTTTAGTAGTTTCAACTCAAGCAAACTTTTCTGCCATGACAAAAGTGTTGCTATTATATCTTTAGTTGTTTCAACTCAAGCAAACTTTTTTGCCATGACAAAAGTGTTGCTATTATATCTTTAGTAGTTTCAACTCAAGCAAACTTTTCTGCCATGACAAAAGTGTTGCTATTATATCTTTAGTTGTTTCAACTCAAGCAAACTTTTCTGCAAAGGCCAATTCTGCAAAATTCTGAAATAATATGCACAGTATATATTTTTCACATGCTTTAGTTTTTATATGCTGATTTGGTTCACGCTCTGTTTACATTGCAGAATAATCAAGTTAAAAATTTTAGCTGAAACAATGTCTAAATAGTAATGTTCTGGTATTCCTCTTATAAATCAATTAACTAACCACTCAACAGCGTTTTAGAGTAAGTCATTTAAATAGCATTGCTATGTTCTCAAAATGGAAAAATAAAATAACAACCACTCAGAAACAGAATTACAGTGTGTGATTTTAATCATCGCATTTAGACAATACAGGATGTGAAAATAAAGGTGCACCATAGGTTAAATATTTAGCACAGTTACTGTTCCAGGTACAGTTTCTTTCTTTGTGCAGGAACTGTAACAGGCTAACTATATTTTAACTTACCACAAAGACAAACATTACAGGTACAAAATAATAACATACAACTACAATAACATATATACATGAGGTTTCAAAAATAACATCAATCTGGCAGTCATTACAAAACCAAGCAACTGAAGTATCAACCTCCAGCAGGTACAAATTTTGTACACCAAAGCAATCGTGCTATTTGAACTTTCAGTGCCATATCTATGCTTTTTTCGAGTTTGAGGAAGTCTGGCCACTAGATACCCATTCGAGATCTCAGACGACCTCACATTCTATACAATTTTAGAAGTGAAGAAGCCTCTGGTGGTAACTTTTCTTTCTGAGTGACCAACCCCAGAGATGCATGTGAAAACAAAACACACATTTTTATGTACAACTTACATGCCAACTACACAAACGGTTGATGAACCAGCACTGTTGGGAAAAACCCATTATTTTTGTACAAAACTGTAAATCTAATGGAGGAGATACAGTTGCAAGATACTATAATCTTATTAATCACAGAAACATTGCAATAATTAGTAAGTACAAGAAAATTTCTACTTCCCAAATTTGCTTATTATCTAAATTTTAAAAATGTGGTCCAGTTATGAAATTATTATTTTAAACATGCAATAAAGAAAAAAAAATCATACCTAAGTAAACATGCATTTTTCTAAGACTTAAAAGACATGGACATTCCCCAAGAAAAACACTACATGCGAGAGCCTGAGTGGCATCCACTGAATAAACTATACATGAGCAATATAAACTTAGAAAACTCATCTTGATTTTGGTTGAATTCACTGGATTTCTGTATTAGTTTACAGTGGGATACAGCTTCTATGAATTCTATGTTTCAATTTGGACAAGTTTAATCTATTGTGGAAGATGTTGAAGAAACGTTTTTCAGAGTGAGACTGGTTTAAAATCTAGTGACTAACGTAAGTTTTTAACAAATCAAATTACCCTGAAATTGAGCTGAAGTTTTTAAACAATATGACTACTCTTTACCAGAAAACCTTTGAGGAATAGCGTTACTATTTTCATGGCAAAACTAATACTTGAAAGTTTATATATTCATTAACTTTCAAGAGAGGCAGATTCCTGTACAGTAACTTTAGCTTCTAAATGACTAGGCTTGCCTAATGTGGGATTATCTGTCTGAAAAATGTGAGTATCTTACATTAGGATTAGTGTCTCTAAAAAACTGAGCTTTCTTTCATCTTCCTGAACAGCTTGGCTTACTGTAAATGATGGGTCCTAGGAGAATATAACATTTATTACATGTTAACTCTCTGAAAATTAATTCCCTGCAGAGCTTGTTTTTTTCGTTTTAAGTGAGATTAATACCTTGGAAAGTTACACCAAACTATAGTATTCATACAAAATCTTTGGAGAACTGAGTTAGTCTAAATGGCAACTGTATCTTGACAAGCTATATAAGTAATTTAAAAAAGGTTTCTGGAAGGATGGACTTTCCTAAAGTGCTATCAGTACCATAAAAACCGCATGGATCTAAAGTTACCTAATCAGGTTTCTGAAGAACTGGACTTGTGGCAGTGAGACTGGTATGTTAATAAGCTACACTGAGGCAGAATAAGAAAATAAGCCTTTTGAAAATCATTGAGGGAAAGCAATTGCTGAAATAACAGGTTACAGTGGAATCAGTGCTATAAGCTTTCTGAAATAATAAACATGTTCTTAGTATGAAATAGAGTTTATTAAGAAATTAAATTAACTTGAGAACTAAAACAGACCTAACAGACGATGACACCTCTAGAAATGACCAATTATATAAATGCATATAATATCAATTAGGTTGATTAAGCTACACTAGGATATCTGATTGGAAAAATGAATTAGCCAAAATGGATAATCTCCCTCGACTAAGAATGGCAGTGTCTTGTTAGCTGTTAGCTAAATCTTTAGTCTATAAATAAAGGCAGTACTTGTCAACATCATTTCATTTACTCTGAACACAGTTGGGTATATTTCTACACTTCCCTTCCTGCTCCTGGCAGTGGGATTGTCTACATTTCTCTCACTCTCATACTCACACACACACACACACACATAAAATAAGTGCCTCTCATCTCCTCAGATTTACATATAAATGATACTTCACACTAATGAACAGGGTAACAACTTTTTTGTACAAGTTTCATGGTTACCTCACATGTAGAAATTATTACTACAACTTTGGATACTCTTAGATATCAATATGATTTTTATTACTTGTGTAGTCCTCTTCAAATTATTCTCATGAATATTTCCACCAAGTATAATCTCATTTTCAACAGGGTAACACATGTAATAAGACATCACAATAAGACTGGCTGAAAAAATACATTCTTAACTGGCCCAGTTTTATCATCTGTGCTACCCCAAAAGAGATCACAATTCACTGTCTTGAGTTTTACATACCATATAACATTTTAAATCCTAAACACATTTTAAAGTTCATATTTTAAACAAGTATACATTCAAGTGTATTAAATCATCAATGATTAGCTTAAGAACCTGTGATAACAGTTTTACAGACCATAAATATTTAAACCAAAAGGATTAGTGTCTAATGCATTTGTTGAAAAGTATATTTTCATACCACAGAAAGAAAAAACACAATAAACATATATATCTTCATCACGAAGTATAACTCAAAAATACTAAAGCAATAGAAATTTGAGCCTATTAATCTTACAGTTTAAAAAGCTAGTAATGTTCCTAGAGTATGTAGCATTTTCAGTGACTAAATATTTTACAGGAACATTCATGTTACATAGCATACAAAGGCTACCATATTTGTAAGCACAGGTAACACACAAACATAGTATGGTAAGGCTATATCACAGGATTGATTTGTAAGTTGTAGTAGATATAGGAAAAGCTACTAATATTTATAGAATCATACCAAGAGTGTAGTCAAGCTTTTTTCCTTTTTTTTTACAAGAAATATAATGTTCTTTGCTTCCAAACATGTTGCAAGTTCTTTCTACAATTACATGTATCTGCAAAACTAATGGGTTATCAACATTTTAGAACAATGGTAAGGTATTTGAGTCTCCTTCAGAAAGATCCAGTTTGACATATCTGAAGAAAATGGAAAAACTGGGAATTCTTTTTACATGACATTTCAGCAGAAGGCAGTAAAGGCATTGACTTACTTTATCATAACTGGGGATCATTGTAAAAAAAAATCTATTTTAAACTATCCTTTCTAGCTTTGGAACAAACTTGGCCTCCCTCTAAACAAAATCAAAAACACTTGCCATGACCATGCTAGAATCATGGCAAGTTATCACTCAATATTTTTGACTGTGGAGATAGAAATATACAGAAATCTTACCAAATCAAACATTGTTTTAACAAACTGATCTTATAAAATTACACTCTTGTTAAATTTTCAACTGTAAAATACAGTTAGAAGTACATTTAATCACTGTAACATCATCAAACAATTTATTAAAATGAAATTTCAATGTCATGTTCTATTTACTTACTTGTCAGCTTATCAATTTGTGAAAATACCAACCATGATGAAGTAAGGTGGAGCAGCATTTTTTGTATTATTATCAAACTTGAGCAGTAATTTTGAATAAGCATATACACACAACTGATAAAGCTGACCCTAAAACAGGACAAATTTATACACAAGTAGCATGGTTAGTAACACTGAAAAACAATAGGATTATTGAAATTTATATTAGAACAAAATTCTGAACTACATCAAAATCCACTGGTGAAATTTACTGGTATAACTTGTAAGTATAGCATTGAACTAAATTAACACAGTTTTATTAAAAACTTGTTGGTGATGAACTTGGGTAGTGAAATTTGTTTCCTACAGATTAACACATTCTAGGAATGAAACATTTACTCATAATAGGCATAGGCTTTACTAAAATATTTACTGCTTTATAACCTACTACCATCCCATGCAAAGAAACCTATACATATATTGCAGCATATGAGCAATACAAACTACTGAAATTCTTCAAGAACCGAGCATTGTTATGGTAGCCATACATGATGCAAATTTTTCATTACTTCATTTAAAGTAAATAAAACTAGTTAATGTGAATAGAATACAACATCATATGTATGTGTAATACAAAAATTACTAGTTAAGGTTAACTTCCTAATACCATAATGGCCTAAATATAAAGAAGCACATTACTCTAAGTTAAAATTTAGCTAACTAAAGAACACATTATGCTAGCAGGGTATAAACAGAATAAAAAATGTAAGTTAATTTTCATGATTTAAGAAGATCAGAACTTCTAAAAATGTCATGGACTGGGCCCCTGTACATAAAAGCATCTTAGAAAATCTTACTATTTAAAAAGAAGTGAAAGTAAACTTAGAATATAGTGCCTACAAAACCTACGTAACAATTAAACAAAACTAACTTATTGTTATAACATCTATGATTTACTTTTGTAAGAAGATTACCAAAGATACCTTGTCCACATCAGGATAGAAACATCCTTTGGTACTTTAACACGTTGTAAAGTTGAATTTTCTCTAAGGTTAGGATGTTCTTGCTATGCTGCTTGAGGTGGATGATGTTTAAACCCCGAAAAAGACCTTCATATAAAATCTAAAATGTTGTCCACCTTAAATTCCCAAAACAGAAGTATTCAACAAGAAATTCTAACCATTCAATGTCTATGCTGCCTCAAAGTAACTATTAAATAAGATTTTAAGATATTATCAAAATAACTTGTAAGAAACTATAGTAAAATGGAACAATTACCCACAATACTGAAATAATCTCAAAAACATACAGTTAGGTACAAGCTACAACAAACGTTTGATGTAAGCTAAAAAAGTGCATTATGTTGTTGGTCTACATTTTGGTTTCATTAAATACAACAACCAGAAACTTTCTTTGCAAATTATGCCTCTACACTATACAATATTACAACAAGTAAGTGGCATTATTAGACCTTCTGTACTGCACCGTTTAACACACTGTTATTAAGGTAACTTACTGTATTTTTACATCTTAATGTATCCATATTATCTCCTTAAATATCCTGTTTGATTAAAAAGCTTTAACATCTTGCATCAAAATAAAATATTTTGTACATAACTGATAAATCAATTAATTTAGAAAATATGTTTATTTTTAATCTGTTTTCTTACAAGAACACTAACTCCAGGTGTGGTGATAATACTCACAAGGTACCACACTTGACACTATAGTATGATAATTCATGATCAAAACACAACTGTTTACACAGCATTTACTTGTTCAGCAACACTATGTTGCAAAGATATAACTTGGAGAGTGAGATCAAGTATTTACTGACCACTAGAGACAGTACAGAAATCAAAGAAATTTACTGTAGTTCTATGTTAGCATCCAGAATCACTTTCGTTTGCATTTCCGTGGAGCAAATGCTGACAGAGACGGATGTAGCATGTCTAAGGCATCACGAGGTAGAAGTGTAACTGGAATGGAAAGATGGGACATCTGGGCAACTTTTGACTCACAAACCCATTCATCTGGGAAACTAAAAGACCAAAAAATGTTTTTAAGGTGTGTGTGTATATATATATATATAATAGATATAGTAGATAAAATTCCAGAATTTTCTCACATCTGATTAATTTACTCATGGAAAGATATTGTCAGAGATAGTAATTAAACTTATATCCTCACTAAAATTTTCTGATTAGCAGGTCATAAATAGTGGCTGTGACCTTCCTATGCATATATGTACAAAATTAAAAATGTTTGGGGATTATTGCCTTAAATATTGATTTCAGTATAATCTAAAACTTGGCATGTTTTATTCAATGCTGATACAGTAAGTTCAAATACATTAACTTCAATTCTATCAAATTTGTATACTAATTTTCGTCAATCATCTGGGATTAACCTGAAGTTTTCTCATTTTTAAAGTGGCCTTTAAAATCTTAAAATTAGTCAGTAGAAATACACATGACCTCTAAAGTGATTTTTATTAATTATAGACTTTTACAAACCTGCTCTCTTGTAAGCAATTAATTTAATAACTTACTAATTAAAATATAGATAATCAATTTATTTTATTTCAAGTTTGCACTAATAAGTATACGAAATATTTAATACAATTATATTTTTTACACCACAAATCTACAGAAAAGTAGTCAGTAAAGCCCTGCATTTGTTTAGCTTTATGTAACTCACTGATACTATCTTATAAAGTAAACTATTACCACTATTACTTAGCAAATATTTATTTAAATAAATAACCACTATATATATATATATAATACATATTTTATATATTTAATTTTCTACAAAGATAATTTTTCTATTTCTTAGTAATAAATACTAAATCTTCTCAATTTTATATCATATTGTTGCATTAGCGAGGACTTGTGTTGCTAAAGTCTCATCGGAACGAATTTACGGAGACGTAACATATTGGTGTCAGAAGTGGGATAAAAAAAAATGGAAACGAGATGCGGAAAATCAAACTACAGCTTAGCAGACTTGATGGCAGCAATACAAGAGCAGCAAAAGAAACAAGAAGAACAAGAAAAGAAACAAGAAAAGAGACAACAGCAGTTGCAAAAAAACATGCAACAGTGGCAGCTTGAACAACAAAATAAACAAGAAGAGAAATTACAGCAGTTGTTGGAGGAAAAAGAAAAGAAACAAGAAGAGAGACAACAGCAGTGGTAAGAAAACCTGCAACAGTGGCAGTTCGAACAGCAAAATAAACAAGAAGAAAGATTACAGCAGTTGTTGGAGGAGAAAGAAAAATAAACAAGAAGAGAAATTACAGCAGTTGTTGGAGGAAAAAGAAAAGAAACAAGAAGAGAGACTACAGCAGTTGTTGGAGGAGAAAGAAAATAAACAAGAAGAACGAGAAAAGAAACAAGAAGAGAGACTACAGCAGTGGCAACTGGAACAAGAAAGGAAACAAGAAATACAAATGGAAAACATCAGTAAATTTAAAAGCGAATTAGATACATTAAAGGATGATTTATTGTCTTTTACACAAGGAGGAAACATTAGCCATCGACTTAATCAGCCCCAGACAATGACAAGCCCCTTCCAGACCCTGCAGCTAAACCCTAATTCAGACATATTCAGTC